CTTACCCATGCTCGGCACGCTTAATTTCCCCTTATTCTCCTCTGAGAAGCACATACCCCGACCTGGTCAGGTCTTAGTTTCATCTGGGCATCTCTCTTCCCCTTTCCCCTTGTGCTGAAGCCTATATAAAAATATCTATAATAAAACCTTTAACGCTGCTTCAAAAACTGTTCAGTCTCAAATTTCTCTCAGCACCAAAGCCACAAGCCCTGCTCTGAGCTGCGTCGAGGTCCCTAGAAGCCTAGCAGAATTCCTCAGGCTGCTGAGGGTGACAGCGGGAGCTGGGCCTGTGCCTGTCCTCTCATGACTGACAAGGACATCGGCTTTAGGAAAGTGTGGAATTGTGTTATTTAATGGATTTCAAGGGCCCCCTCCCATTCCCTATTCAGGTGCCGACTGAAGTCACTGTCTGGACAGATAGAGGCAGGAGACACTCAGGCTGTGTGGAGGGGCTGGGGCTCCTGTTACTGTAAATGGGGTTTCTGGCAAGATTTCTAGAAAATTGTAGGTTTAGAGTTAAAAAGGGAGCCTTGAGCATTCTTGGTTGGTGTCATCCAGACTCGGGTAAGAACCCCACTTGTCCCAACCACTTACGTTTCCCTATTAGTCTATCCTGCCTCATATCAGTCTCTGCCTTAGCCACTACATCTGTCACCTCAGCCCCACCTCAGTTCCCACCTCAGTTCCCACCTCAGTTCCCACCTCAGCTCCCCCCTCAGCTCCCACCTCAGCTCCCACCATTTCCCACCTCAGCTCTACCTCAGCCACACCTCAGCTCCCACCAGTTCCCACCTCAGCTCCCACTTCAGCTCTATCTCAACCCCACCTCAGCTCCCCCCTCAGCTCTCTCAGTTTCTCCTGCGTCTCAGGCTACAGCTCAGTGCCTTCTGTTGCTCCTCAGTCAGGAAAAAATATTCCCCCCTCTTCTCCCTCACTTCTGTCAATTCCAGGACAGAAATGAAGGCAGCGGCTGTGCGACATCATCAATAGCATCAGGAGCAGGGCCCTGTGAACGTGAGCCCTGAGAGTGGGGTCCATGCCTGGATTTGCACGCATCTTGTCCCGCAGTCAGTCTCCAGGTACAGCCTGCAGCTTATGCCACAGCATTGACCCCTTTCACCCCAGAATCTCCAGCTGTGGTCTCTGGACCAGCAGCAGCAGAACCTGGAAACTTGGAAGAAATGTAATATTTATTTATTTAGGTTTTCTGAGACAGGATTTCTCTGTGTAACAGTGCTGGTTGTCCTTGAACTCATTGAGATCCTCCCGCCTCTGCCTCCCAAATACTGGGATTAAAGGTGTGTGCTGCCACTGTCTGGCTTTATTTTTATTTTTTTGAGACAGTATCTCACTATGTAGACCAGGCTAATCTCAAACTCTTGGAGATCACCTATTTCTGACTCCTGAGTGCTGTGATTAAAAGCCTGTTACCATGCCGGGCATGAAATGGAAGTTCTAGTCCACACTCTGTTCCATCAGGGTTGTGGGGTTGCGCCCAACACATTCGGTTTTAACCTCATAGGCAATTCTGATGCATGTGTAGCTGGGTACCTGCTAATCAATGCTGAGGAGGCCTAATTGTGTTTGGCTATCATGTAACTATGACCTTCCCAGGTTTTCCACCAGGCATTCATTTGGGGCAGGTAAAACCTATTTTAACTGTAAACTGTTGTGTAAATGTACCACATTTTCCTTATCCACTCTTTGGTCAAGGGGCATTTAGGTTGTTTCCAGGTTCTGGCCTTGAACTTGCTGCTCTCCTGTCTCGGGCCCTGGAGTGCTGGGCTTACATACCCACTCCCCACACCTGACTTCAAAGGTAATCTTTCAATCTGTTGGGTCTAGCAAAGGCTGGTCCAGCCTGCCTTGCAGGGACCTTGAAAGAACTGACCTCTTGGCCTCGTGAGAGCTGAGAGAAGCAACTGCTGTCTGTGCCTGACGGGAAAGAAATTCTCTTTAGTTCTCACCTTTCCCCTTTCTCTGGTGCAGCTGTTTAGATCTGACTGAAACGACCGAGTTCTGGCAGATGGAGTGGAAGGCAAAGTGTAATTCAGGAATTTCTCTTAACCAAAAGATTCATGTTCTCCTTCCCTTCCTGCTTTCCTGCTGGCTGAAATGTTGCCTCGATGCTGGAGCTGAAGCAGCCGATTTGGACCACGCGACAGAAGGCGAATACGGACCATTTGGGAGCGAGGCAGAGGAGGTCCCTAAGGATGGTGTTATTGTGTTTCCTGGACTGAATTCCTTTTCTTTTCTTTTGCTTTATTTATTTTTTTATTTTTTTGAGATAGGGGCTCACTCTGTAGTCCAGGCTAGCCTCGATCTCACAGAGCTGTCTGCCTCTGCCTCAGGAATGCTGGAGTTAAAGGTGTGCACCACCACACCCAGCCTGCATCCCTAGACATTTAACTGGGGATGGACATTTTTTACTTCATTGAGGTCTCTGTTATTCCACGTTTCCATCATTCATAGCTGAACCCGGATGTGGACGTGGGTTTCCTTGTCTCTCATACATTTGACCAGAATTTCTCAAAACAAGATGCAAATTGGTTTGAAACAGGGTCTCGCACGGCACAGGTGGGCCCCAAACTCACAGCTGAGGCTAGCTTTGGCCTCCCAAATTATGAAGTTAAAGGTGCATGTCACCACGCCCTTCAGCCTCTGTGTGTTGGTGGCCCGAGTAGCGACAGGAAGCCTGCTGGGGCAGCTGGGACCCTGTGAGGGAGGAAGTGTTGTTTGACCTTGGCACAAAGTCAGGTGTGTCTGGCAGCCTCTGTGTCAAGAGGGCCCAAAGATGAGGACTGAAGCTCCGGGGAGCTGCTGAGCAGGTGACTCATTCCCTTGGGTCCCTCTGCAGCCTTCAGCTGCCCCTCCTCCACCTGCACATTAGCCTGATCTCCAGGCCTAATTGATTAAGGCTGGAGAACTGGAGCGGGCACACACCACACAGCTCAGCAGGAACCAGCTGCATTCTGGAACTCACAGGCAAAAGCACTCACTGGCATCGGATCTCTGCGTGAGGCTGGGTCTTCATAGAGCAGTGTCCCTGTGCTCTTCAGAAGAATGACCAGGAGTGCGGGAGCACGGGCATGGTGTATTGTGTGCCGCCAAGCAACTGAAGTGTCAGCTCTACAGGTGGCCTTGGGCCCTTCACTCCACCTCGCCTCACCCCCTCATCCCAGGGAAATCTGTTCAGGCGCTACCCCCCCCCCCCCCCCCCCCCCCCCCCCCCCCCCCCCCCCCCCCCCCCCCCCCCCCCCCCCCCCCCCCCCCCACCCGCTTGAGGGACAGGAAACCACCAGTCCCTGCTTGCTGGTTGCCAAGCAACCCAAGGATGAGCCTTGGAGGTCATTTCTCAGACAGCTCTGTGCCTCCCCACAGCCTGTGAACAGATGGCCCCGCGAGCAGTCAGCCCCAGCCCTAAGCAATTGCTATGCTCCTGCAGCCCTCTCCCTGAGCAAGGAGAAGAAGGCCTCTAGGGGCTCGGCCAGGGAAGTGAGGAGACTGTTTTGTGTGGAAGGGGAGAGGGGCCTAGGCTAGGCTCCTGGCAGCCCTGCAGCATTCTGCTCTTGCCCAGGGCAGTGCCTGGAAGGAAGGGAAAGAGAATGCTAGGTTGGTACTGCCATTGCTTCCTCTGGGTAGGCTGGATTGTGTACAAAAGAAGGTCTGCCCCCCTTGACAGCTCACCAAAGTACAGCCTCTGACAAGAGGCTTCTAGCAAGCTAGGAACAGACTGGGGATGCAGCTTGGTTGGTAGAGTGCCTGCCTAGCACGTAGGAAGTCCTGGGTTTGATCCCCAGTATTTCATAAAACTGAGCGTGGTGCTGCGTTCCTGTAACCTCCGTACTTGAGAGATGGAGGCGGGGGATCAGAAGTCCAAGGGGGCCCTTGCCTACACAGGGGGTTAAAAACAAGCTTACATTACATAAAAGCCTGTCTCAAAAATAAAGTAATAAAATTGGGTGTGGTGAGCTACACCTTAAGTCTCAGCACTTGGGAGGCAGAGGCAGGAGGATCTCTCTGACTTCAAGGCCAGCCTGGTCTATGTTTCAAGTGCTAGGCCAGCCAAGGCTACGCACGTAGTACGACCTTGCCTCAAATAAATAAGTCAGAAAGCTTAAAATTCAGGAGATGTCTGTGATGTCGCCATCTATTTTCTTTATTTTTAGGACAAAATTCAAAGCAGTGTCTCAGCCTCAGGGAGGTTTTCCCTTTTCTTTTCTCTCTCTCTCTCTCTCTCTCTCTCTCTCTCTCTCTCTCTCTCTGAGACAGAGTTTCTCTGTGTAATAGCTTTAGCTGTCCTGGAACTTACTCTGTAGACCAGGTTGCCCTTGAACTCACAGACTGCTGGGATTAAAGGTGTGCACCACCACCGCCCAGGTTTTTGTTGTTATTGTTTTGTTTTTGGTGAGGTTTCCCCTTTCTGATTGCAGGAAGGTACAAAGTCCAGAAGAGATGCAGCTACTCCTGCATCTGTCCTATTGTCCTGTGTTTTGCTTTTTATTTTATTTATTTAGTTTGGTTTTATACTTTTGGAAAAGCGTCTCACTCCACATCCTCCGGCTGGCCATGCACTCACTGTATGTGATGGTCCTTGCAAGTATCATGGCCGGCAGTGAACTGATCGGAGAAGAGGCCAGAATGAAGCTTAGTTCAGCCTACTTCAGTTATCCGGCACTGGCTCAAACTTCCGGAGACTTGACACTGGCTTAATTTAGCCATGTTTAAGCACAGCATAATTTTGGAAAAGTTTCCTGATGACAACTAACCCCATCCTGTGTGTGAACAAAGCCTAAGACATGCTTACACTGAAGCTCTTTACAGAGTACAGATAGCTTCTTGATGTGGGAGTGTCATATCAATCTGTTGATTTCATTGGTTAAGTAATAAACACACTGCTTGGCCTCATAGGTTAAAGCATTGGTGGGAGGAGTAAACAGAATAGAATTCTGGGCGGAAGAGGAAGTGAGGTCAGACTCTGCTCTGCTCCTGGAGAGACCCGACAGCTTTGCTCTCTGGAGCAGAGACGCCAGGCTCCACTCTCCGAGGCAGCTCAGACCAGGATGGATGTAGGCTAGAATCTTCCCGGTAAGCGCACCTTGGGGTGCTTACACACATTATTAGAAATGGGCTAGTCCAGGTGCGAGAATTAGCCTGTAAGGGCTAGAGTTCATGGGCCAAGCAGTTCTTTAAATGAATACAGTTTGTGTGTTGTTATTTCGGGCATGAGCTAGCCAAGCGGCC